CTTCTGAAGTGTCAAGAGTTGATACAATTTTCAACGCATCTCCTTCTAAGGATGATTTTAGATATTGAAATTTTTGAACTGTTGTCAGTATGACATTGTTCTCAATTAATGACTGAAATAGATCATAAAAATTGTCCCATTTATGAGTACTACCATCAAATATTGGAATATTAATCGGTGGTAATTTTATTTCCGGCAACCTATTTCTTTTACTATTAAATTTCTCCAAAATTTCATCCGCATGTGATAACGTTTCATAATAAATTTCGTCAAAGAAAACCTTTTGTTTGTTATCAACAACCATTGTAATTGCATCTATTTCTATTTGTATATTCTCAAAATCTATCAAGAGCTTTTCTAAATTAGAGCCCTAACCATGACTTAAAACGCTCAATTTTTGCAAATATAGCATCTCTTTTTTGAATTAACAAGTCTTTGTCTTTTGATTTCTTTTTGTCTGACATAATGAAGAACCAACGATTATCCGAATAAAACTCACTCACCCTTTGTCATTGGCATTGTCATTTACAACGTGGCGGTGGTGTACTTATTGCTGTAAAAACATTATATTCAGCCAGTTCAGTTCCAGCCCAAATAAATATGGTAGAACATGTTTTTGTCCAAGTAAAAACAAATGGTAAAAACATCCTTTTGGGATGTTGTTATATTCCTCCCTCCTCTAGACACGAAGTATATCAAACTTTTTGTGACGGCGTAGTTGATGTTGTACTTGAGAAGCCCGATTGTGATTTGGTGCTATGTGGTGATTTTAACATTCCTGATGTTACTTGGAAGAATGATAACTTAGGCTTAGAGACTGAATATTCGAATAACTCCCCTGCTAAAATTATAGTTAATAATGTAAGTTTTTTAAATGTTTATCAAAAAAATGTCAATGCAAATTCTAGACTAAAAATGTTAGACTTGGTATTTTCACAAATTGAAAATTTAATTGTGTCTAAGGCTTTAAATCCACTTTTTTCCTCAAGCACACATTACGAGCCTTTAGAAATTAATATAATAACCCATGACTCCCATTTAAATTACATTGCGGAAGAGTGGTATTTTGATTTTCGAAACGCAGATTTTTTCAGCATTAACAACTTTTTTGCAAAAGTTGAATGGGATGAAACGTCTTTGTTAGGTGCTAATGAAGCAACTGAATTTCTTTATGACCAAATTTATACGGCACTCAATTTATTTGTACCAGTGAAAAAATATTCATTATCCAATTTTCCTTGTTGGTTTAATGTTGAACTTAAGAAATTAGTAGCTGAAAAAAAAAGAGTTCATAAGAAATACAAGCTATTCAATCAACACCACGATTATATTCTATTTAGTGATTTACGTAGGCGGTGCAAGGAACTATCTGAAGTTTGTTTCAAAGAATATAACAGAAAAAATAATATTAACACTAATCCTAAATATTTTTGGAGCTACATAAATAACAAAAGAAAAGCCCATGATCTTCCAAATCCATGACCTCTAATAACTCTGAGAGCTTTGATGATATTGTCAGCATTGTGAATGAATTCGCCAAGTTCTTTTCATCAGTTTTTTCTACCGACAATGTACAAAATTTACCTTCAAATAATTTTAAGAATACTGTGAATATATCAACCTATCAAATTAATGTGATCAACATTATGGAAAGATTTAACAGTCTACCATCGAAATTTTCCCATGGTCCAGATGGGATTTCAACTTATTTTTAAAAAAAATGCATTTATACTTTGGCTTATCCTCTAACATATCCCTTAAATCAGGAATCTTTCCAAATATCTGGAAACATAGTTTTTTGAAACCAATTTATAAATCGGGACCAAAAGAGAAAATTGAAAACTACCGAGCTGTTTGTATCCAGTCCGATATTCCTAAAGCATTCGATTATCTCATAAGTAAGTTCTTATCTTGGGAATGTAAAAACATCATCATTAATGAACAGCATGGTTTCGGTTCTGGTCGGTCAACAGTGACTAATCTCTTGCTTTATAACACTTACATAATTAATGCTTTAGAAAATAAGTCACAAGTTGACTCGATCTATACAGACTTCTCAAAAGCTGATCGAGTAAACCATAAACTTCTTATTAACAAACTAAAAAATATTGGAATATCGGGTGTCATGCTATCATGGAAGTTATTTAACAAATCGTTTTCAAAGCTTGAAAATTGCGGGTGTTGTATCTCATGAGATTACAGTTCCTTCAGGTGTACCTCAAGGTTCTCATTGTGGACCTATTCTATTTAATCTGTTTGTTAACGATATTTGTGATACATTAATACCTACTTTTTGCAAATGATTTTAAGTTATTCAAATCTATTAATTCACATTCTGATATAATTGAATTGCAAACAGACCTTGACTCCCTGAATATATGGTGCAATCTAAACCAAATGAATCTAAATATTAAGAAGTGCTTCTGTATATCTTTTTGCAAAATTTTGTCACCCATCATACATGACTATCAAATTAACAATCATAGTGTATCAAGAGTTGATACCATTAAAGATTTAGGTGTCATGATGAATAGTAAATTGTCTTTTCAGGAACATATAGATATGATAACAGCAAAGGCATCAAAACTATTAGGTTTCATTTCTAGGTCTTCCACGGATTTTTCTGCTTATACGTTCAAAACGATGTATTGTTCTCTAATAAGGTCACAATTAGAATACTGTTCGATTATTTGGAACCCATATTACAATACTCATAAGCATCAAATTGAGACTTCAGAATAAATTCTTGAGAATATGCGCCTATAATATGGGTTATATAAGAGGAGATTACTCATATGCTTCAATTAATTCTCAATTAAACTTAAAATCACTTGACTTTAGGAGAACAGTTTCTGATATAATTTTTATAAATAAATTGTTAACAGGGAATATTGATTCTCCCCAGGCAGTAGGTCTTATTAATTTTAATACCTTTAGTAGGACTAGACAATTCGACTTATTTAATATACCACTACATACCACTAATTATGCTTTTAATTCACCAGTAAGTCGAATGTTACGTGAATGTAATAAGTTGAAATGTAAAAATTGTGATATTTTTGGAACTGTTAATGCTCTCAGGACTTATTTAAATAATATGGAAGTCTAACATTTTATGTCTTAATTTTCTAACTGATTTTATAATTGTTATTTGATGCCGTTATATTTTATATTTTGTATTGTATTTTATATTACCTATATTAGTTTAGTATTTAGTTCAGTATTTATTTTGCTGTTTTTATTCCACTTAATATTGTATTTTTTTTAATGGGGTTACCCGTGAATAAATAAATAAATAAAACTAAATATCTATGTTGTTTCAATATTAATTACTTTAGTATATTTTAATATTGTTTTTAAACGTTGTTATGTTACTAAAAGCTGATCATTTTTTAAATATACGTAAAATATTAACGTTAATTTAAAATAAATATAAGTCGTATATAAATCGTTATCGTATTTAAACCATTTAACGTTCTAAGAGAAGGCGCATCGAAAAACAGACTGTTCTAAGTCATAAGTGCTACGAATTATATAATGAAACTTTACGAATGGTAGTTCAGTCAAGACAAAAGAAGCATATTCATATTTATACAGGGTTTTAGTAAATAATTGCGACAAACTTCAGGGGGTGATTCAGCATGAAAAAATAATGACAGTTTGCTATATAAACGTATGTCTGAAAATACTTCGTTTTCCGAATACGGGGTATTAAAGTTTTTCTTAAAAACTGACGATTTGTTTATTGCTCTGAAACCGGTCAAGATATGCCCCATACGAAAAGATTTTTAGTCACAGATTGAACATTGAACATCCAAACTTTAAAAAATTACTAAACGAAATATTCGACTTAATCATCATGAAACAATTTGTGTTTGAAGGCTTAAAAGCTCTGAGCTGTCACTTCAACGACCCAATGATAATGTTCAGTATTGTCGGAGCGAACATTTGGTCCAACATGGATACAGCCAATCCGCCACCGCTATCTTATGTACTGGATCTTTTCTTAAGTTATTCTAGTAAAATGAATTTGTGGGAAAGGACCTTCAATTCGCTGACAATGCTGTTTCACGCACTGAAACTCTGGTTTACTACCCCTCTCAGAGGAAATTCGTACAAAAATATTCACCAAAACGTGCCTATTACGATTTCAACAACGAATCTTTTTATCTAATGAACTTGCACGAAAGTACCTCGGAACCGGTACCTTTGGTACCCGTTGGTACCACCGACGGCTTTCACATCAATTCACCCAAAGAATTACCGAAAGATCTGAAGGAGTATCTGGATAACACGAAAGATGGCGTAATCTACTTAAGCATGGGTTTCAATATCCAGTTTTCCCAAGTTAAACCCGAAATTAGAGATACTTTAACAGAGATTGGGCAAATTGAAGCAGACAATTTTATGGAAATGCGACGAGGATACGTTGTATGGAAAATCAGATAATGTTAAATTTGAAAAGTGGTTCCCACAATCAGATATTTTGGGTAAATATTTACAATAGTCTTTTTGGTAGTTAACAACTTTAAAATTTGCTGCTCAGTCTTCTAATGTTTTCCATGTATCTTCCTGAAGCCCGCCGTTCACTGGAGCTTTTATTTACACCCAACCGGCCAAAACCAGCATCATTAGTCTGTATCATTATGTTTACTTGCATCCCATTGAAATGTCAAACTATTCATCACTCATGGAGGATTACTGAGTACCTTCGAAACACTTTATCATGGAGTACCGGTACTCACTTTACCTGTGTTCGCAGTTTAAAAACTAAACGCAGCCAGAATGGAAACTCTTGGTTATGATGATGGCAATTAACCTGAATCCAGTCTCGCTTAATTCCATGTGAAAATTTTTTCCAGATAATAATATAAAGATTATCTAATTTTCTTTTTAGTTATTTAATAATGTCGTACGAGAATATCTAATGTTGAAATAATGATCTTTGATATCTACATCAAGATTGTGAAGCATTAGATAAGTATTATTATATAAAAGAAAGCATCATCACCCTCAAATAATACCGCAGTTAGTCTTAACTCTAGTGGCATCGTAGATAAAACTCTGACCGCGAAATTTAAATATTTTCCTAAAATGAAGTTTGCTTTGATTTTTTTGTGCGCGGTGAGTTGGGTGGAATGTTACAAAATTTTGGTCGTGTTCTCAGCGGCGTCGCCCAGTCATTTTATGCTTTGCAACGCTTTGGGGAGGGGGCTAGCGAAAGCGGGACACGAAGTAACTGTACTTAGTCCCTTCCGAGACAAAAATCCCCCGAAGAATTACAGAGAGGTGGTTTTGACTGGATTTGTGGAAAATAAAGAAAGTATGTTTTTTTTTATTCTTATCTGACTAGCTAACTAAAAAAGTCATAACGTTATACGTACTTGGATCACAGTTTAAAGAAGATAATATTCTTTAAACTGTGCTTGGATGATTCAGAAAATTTTATTTTCAAAATGAGCTTGCATGTCGCGTTATAACATTTTTTAAATAAATTAACTGAAAGTCGTTCAAATATTTTTATAAAATTTTAACAATTTATAATAGTAACTTTAAAGAACTGACTTAAAAATGATGCAGATGGCCTTAAAAATTAAGATTTTCTCATAGATCATCAGATCCTGACCAATTGTTTACAGAACTGCCCCTGAGAGGGGATACATCAGGGGTATTAAAAAAATAATCATAAAAATCGGAAAATGTGGTAAAGAATTATTGCTGAAAATCAGGGGCGGATGGGACCTCTCAGACCGGCGCGGGAAGTCAATTAAAACGACGCCGCACCCGTCCTGCAAAAAAAGAAAAAACATGAATTTTTATGTTAATTATTAATAACTTAACCATAAATTATGTTAGAATAGATCAGATAAGATTTAATTAGGACTGTGGGCCATGTGCCTCCCCGACCTCGACCTTTTCATGTCTAATGTGGATATCCTGCAATCGTTGTTTGGAGTACCTTGTCTTGTTCGGTCTTTTGTAGTAGACTCCATAGATTAGAAGTAGTTCTACGGCATAGCTAGTTGCCCTTTGTTTTTTTCTTCTTCAAGTGTAAGGAATCTCAGTCTTGATAGATCTTCGCAGTAGCACAATACGTGTTCCGCAGTTTCTTCCTTTCCCTGACATAATCGGTCAGACCGATATGTTCAATAAGCCTACAATTATCTATTAATAGACCTACTAGTACTCTAGTATTTTTCCTGTTAGGGCTTATTAGATGCTCGGTGAGTTTAGGCGATGATCCTTTTAAGAACTCTTTGTCGTGGTGAATTTTTTCACAATTCCTAAGATTTTTTAAACATCTAGTGCTTTGTAACACCACAGAAGGGTTCTGGGCCAATAAGAGCATTTGAAACTCCTTCTCGGGCTAGTAAATCAGCCTCTTCGTTGCCCTTATGTCATTTGTGGCCTGGTTAGTCTGTTTTGACTATCCAGCTCTGTTAGGGCTTCCAAACAGTCCCACACAAGCTTTAGGAGCACCAGAACTGAGAGCTGTTAACGGCGCTTAACTGTCTATGTATATGACAATAATTTTTTTTATTTATCTTGTCTTAATACTTTTTTTGCGCAGTGCTGTATTGCTGCTATTGTTGCCTGAAATACTGTCGCTTAGTGAGATTTTTGTCTTCAGCTTAGTAGTGCAGGGCATAGTGGCGCATTCGTTTGCAAAATTGTTTTAATTCGTAATTTTTTTTTAAATGTCCGGAAGGCTTGCCTAATTATAAAAGTGTAAGATAACACTCGATATTTGTTGATGTTATTGTTTAAACAACGAAAAATTAATTAAGGCAAAAAATGCATTTTTTGCAATGAATTAATTTTTTTTTTATATTTTTTAGGATATTTCGAATAAGAAAAGTCCCTACGCTCATTATCGTATCTTTTTTTTTTTTTTTTTTTTTTTTTTTTTTTTTTTTTTTAATGGCACTGGATATAACCAAAAGGCCAGACTATTGTAGTAATCCATAAATCTTTAATTGTTTTATCCACTATTGTTACATGATTACATTATTATTATATTTTGACTTACAGCTATCAAAATACCTGAGTTTGTAATTAATTATAAAAAATGTCTATTTTTTTATTATTTGTTTTTTTGGTTATTTTTTTTTGTATTATTCTTTTTTTGTATTATTTTTTTTTGTATTATTTTTTTTTTGTATTATTTTTTGTTTTTTTTTTTTTTTTTCATTTTTTCCTTGGTTTCATTTTTTTATTTTATCATTTATTTTATTTTTTCGTTTCAGGTTTACAATATTTTTAGGGTAGCTCAGCTACTTACAATCTTGTATTAGTTTTTTTAACAAATTCATACAATATTTTATAAACTTTAACATCGTTTAATGAAAGCAGAACATCAATGTTTATTGGTAGAGGTATACCAATATTAACTAATTCTAAGTACATTGTGTCAGTATCTAACGAATTTAGGACACACTCTAAAATTATATGATTGAGATCAGCAATTTCATCACAAATTAAACATAAATTATTATCTGATAGACCAAATTTTTCCTTGTAGGCAGGATGCATAGCATGATTACTTCTCATACGACAAATAACTCGGATAAAAGACCTATTAATTTCGTTTTTGAACCAGGGACACTTTGGAATATTAGGTTGAATGTTTTTGTATTTCTTCCCTTTTTCTTCTTTAGAATATGCATCTTGCCAAGTTTTAAACATTGATAATTTAGATTTAGCAATAAAATCTGATTTTGGAGTTTTAATATTTTTATTAGTTTCCGAAACAGTAGCCTTTTTTGCTAGTATATCCACTTTCTCATTGTTACTAATACCTACATGAGATTTTATCCACGCCAACGAAATTTCTTTATTTTGTTCCAAACATTGATAGTTAATCTTAAGAATTTCTGAGGCTATATAGTTGGTAGGACTGGTAACGTTCCATTTTGCAAAATATTCTACTGTTATGAATTTTTTAAAATTGAAAATTGACGAAAATTCTAATATTCTTGAATTAAATAATATACCTTAAAATTTAAAGTGCTATAATTTTAAATTTTTTACCGAATATTCAAACTATAATAAACAAAATAACCTAAATAAATTTTCAAAATTTTGTTTGTTGTTATGTTTTTTTTTTTTTCGTTATAACAATATGCTTCCTACGCGCGTGTACTTTGCGTGCACTTTCAACTCAATGTATAAGATGGGTAAGAGAAAGCCCGATGACGTGCTGAATCAAGTTTTTGCTGTCTTTCAGAGGTAATAAGTTTAAAAAATTTAATATTAACATTTTTCATAACACTTTGTTATATTTGCCGATTAATAGTTTTGTATCATGTGATTTTTTTTTTACTTTTTTAGATACTTTTGATAACTTTTTTATTTATTAAAGTTAACAGAAACATTTATTTTTAACATTTATTTTTATTCATGAAAAAATTATTGTCAGATACTGCCTGAGAAGTAAAATCTTCTTCAACCTTTTTTTTTTTCAATACGGTAAAAAGGCCAAATGGACTTGTCGTGATCCGTGAAAAATTTCTACCTGTTACAATGAACATATTAGGCTTACTGGGGTTATAAAATTTTATGATTTCAAAAATATCCAAGCCTTTCTCCATTTAACAAAAATAAGGAAAACATTTTTTTTTTCTAATATTGAGAGTTAGTACTTGTAGCGCCTTGGAAGCACTACATACTAACTCCAACTCATAATATATTGATACATGTCACACCCATGCCACACATATCAATATTACCTATTAAGGCAGCTTAGTGGGAGGCAGGATTTAAGTGCACCCTATCTATCTACTTGACGACCTCGGTTGCGAAGCATTAATATTTATTAATTTATTATCTATTTATTATATTAATATATACCCTTTTACAAACCGCTATATCATTTACAAGATGGGATCCACAAAGTTAAAAGATCCCATAGTACTATAATATGAATTCTTTTTATGATTTTCAATCTTTTGCACTATGAATACAAATAGGTAAAGGGACTTATTTCGTATTTTGAAAAATTGTACGTTTAACTCTTCTTCTATTTTTTTATTCCTGTCATAAACAATTTTTACAACCTTCCAAATAGAGAATTCAACCCTACCTTAGAATTTTTGGCTCGTTTTGAAAAATATTTTTCAGTTGTTCATCAGTCTTGCTCGATTCTACATCTACTGGTTTACTTTGCAGTCGTGTAATTTTCTGAATAATAATGTCGTTCTCTTTAATTTCAAAAAAAAATTATATTATCTGACGACAAAAAGTGTTTATTTTGTGATCATGGCGAGGCGTCAGTGAAGTGTCCGAAACCTGTTACGTATTTAATATTAAAAAAATGCAACTCTTCGTCGAAACGATAACGTGACTGTGCGATTTAATTTGTTGTTTAATGAAAATACTAGTGAATAATCTTTTCCGTGGCATCGTGGCGCGTAGGAAGCATATTGTTATAACGTAAAAAAAAACATAATAACAAACAAAATTTTAAAAATATATTTAGGTAATTTTGTTAATTATAGTTTGAATATTCGGTACAAAATTTAAAATTATAGCATTTTAAATTTTAAGGTATATTATTTAATTCAAGAAAATTAGAATTTTCGTCAATTTTGGATTTTAAAAAATTCATAACAATTAAAGGGTTAAAGATACGATGATGGGCGTAAGGACTTTTTTATTCGAAATATCCTAAAGAATATAAAAAAAAATTAATTCATTGCAAGAAATGCATTTTTTCTGGCTTAATTATTTATAATAATCTCCCTAATTCACCTCCTTACGAGAGAATTTTAACCACAAAAGCTGAGCTTATGCGAGGAAAGGGACGGCTATTATTATTATCTGCCGTGGCGCTCCGGGGCGACTTAAAGATGAATGATGATGCCATTTGACTTACAGGTGAGGAAAACCCGGAAAACCTCACCCACCATCATCGAGACGGTAATGCATGGCGATTTTATATTCTGCATGTCATATCAACAGAAATTGAATTTCTATTAATACGGCACACATCAAATCCTATACCGAACCATGCAAATTAATTAAAAATCCACATGGTCTAAACCAAAAATATCCAAAATGGTATGATGGCCCTCTGAGAAAACTAATATCTGGAAAAAACAGAGCATATAATAAATTTAAAAGGACTGGATATGCTTCAGACTACAAAACATATTCCGACATTCGACGTGAGGTAAAATATCACATTGATCTATGCTACCTTACTTTTGTTAGCAATATTGAACATGTAATTCCTGAAAATGTAAAATATTTTTGGACATTTATTAATAGCCTAAAACGTACAGAACATATGCCGTCTATCATGAAATACAACAATGATACTTTAAAAACACCTTCATCTATCGCTGTTACTTTTGCACTACATTTTGAGTCTTGCTACAGTAACCACAGCACTCTTGACTTAAATCACTTGGAATCAGTCAAATTTGGTTCCCATCTCTCATTTCACTTCTTTAAAGAAGATGAAATAAAGAAGAAAATGTTGGATCTCGATCCTTCCAAAGGTTCTGTTCCAGATGGAATACCACCTATCCTTCTCAAGAAGTGCCCTGCTTTATCTGCACCACTGTGCACAATTTTCCAGAGATCATTCGACAGAGGATATGTCCCGTCCAGATGGAAATATTCTAACTTGGTTCCAATTTTTAAGTCCGGGGATAAATCAGACATAAAAAATTATCGAGGCATTTCTATGCTATCAGCAATTCCTAAGCTGTTAGAATCAATCTTAACAGAGGAATTATTTTACACGTTTAAGAATTACATAATAGATGAGCAGCATGGCTTCTACAGAGGCCGTTCAACAACTACTAATCTGGCTATTTATCAGGAGTTTATTACCTCTTCGGTTGAAGCTGGTTACCAAGTTGATACAATTAACACCGACCTCTCTAAGGCGTTCGATAGTGTATGTCAGCAGTTACTTTTAAAGAAACTATCTGAAATTGGGATAACAGGCAATTACCTTAAGTGGATTAAATCCTATATTATTAACCGTCAGCAGCGTGTTACAGTGAATGGTTCTGTGTCGCGGGAAGTGACAGTGTCTTCGGGTGTATCCCAGGGTTCACATATTGGCCCTATTTTATTTTTGTTATTTATAAATGATGTAGTGTCCTGTTTTAAAAATTCTCATTGTCTCTTATATGCTGACGATTTAAATTTTTTTAATATTGTGGAACCTAATTATAACGCCCTACAGTCTGATTTAGATCAATTTGTCTCTTGGTGCAGTTCTAACTATTTAGAACTAAACATATCAAAATGTAAAGTTATATCATTTTACAGACGTTCTAACCTCGTCGAAAACTCATATATTATTAATAATACTACGCTGGAGAGCGTCTCCACATTTAATGATTTAGGAGTAATATTCGACAGGGAATTATCCTTCTCTTTACATGTTGATACTATCATTCTGAGGGCGTTTAGGCTATTAGAATTCATAAAAAGAAGCACAAAGCATATACAAGACACTAAAGCAATAACATGTTTGTACAGTGGTTTGATCCGAAGTATTTTAGAGTATTGCAGTACTATTTGGTCTCCGTTACAAGCTATTTATGTCAACCGAATTGAACGAGTTCAAAACAAATTTTGTAAATATTTGCTATTTAAGTTTCACTTTCCATATCGGGATTTATCGTATGAAACGAGACTGCTACTCTGTGGTATGCAAACTCTTGAACGGAGACGCAGGGATGCAATGTTACTTTTGCTCTACAAAATAATTAATGGAGACATTATTTGTGAAAAATTGTTATGCCAAGTAAATTTCGTTGTTCCGTTAAGGCATACTCGACAGTCACAACTATTCTTTGAGAAAAGCCATCGTACAAACTATGGACAAAGAGCTTGAATACCTTCATTTGCCAATCGTCCTACAGTCGATAGCGATATTCCTAAGGCGGCCGAAACATGCTAAAATTAATTGATTATCAATGAATTTTTACTTAACTTTAAGATGTGAAACTTATTTCATGTACAGCATTTACGGGCAATAGAGTTTTACCGGCTTGTTTTTCTTATGGAAATAAGCAAGCAGTTTTAATACAAACGCTTGCTCTTTTTCGCTATACCTCGGCATGTTTATAATTATCAAAATAAATAAATAAAAAATAATATTCCAACTTCTAAAAAATGTGGTTAACCACAATAATTACAAATGGAACTAATGGAAGTACTGGTCTGATAAAAACTGTTAGATGTAGGCAACACGTAATAAGAGATCAAAATGGCGGAGTTTTCTATCTCCTTTTAAAAGGCACTCGGAAAGCTGCGCAGTGCTACCATTCTCCGTATAGTAAAAGAAAATCAAAGTATGTGAGTTATTTAATATCTACGTGTAGATCTGTCATGATTTTGTTACGTCACAAAAATTTATAGTGGACGTACCGTTTTTTGCATTTCTTTTAACTTAATGCGATAAAGCGAGATCGATGCCGTATGACTTGCAACTGAAAGGTTATAAAATGAACTTTATCTATATCCATAGTTTCTATCTCAATTTTTATTTAATTCGAATTCAGAACATAGTTTTTTTTATATTTCAGAAGTTATGCCACTCAACTTCTTCGAGTTGGAAAACATGCATCCATGGCTAAGCATTTACAGTATGATGTCTGTCAGTAACACCGTTAATGAAACTTTCGAACACCCAAACTTTAAGAAACTACTAAACGAAAAATTCGACCTAATTATCATGGAACAATTTGTGTTTGAAAGCTTAAAAGCTCTGAGCTGTCACTTTAACGTCCCACTGATAATGTTCAGTATTGTCGGAGCCAACCTTTGGTCCAATATTGATACAGCCAATCCGTCACCGCCATCTTATATACCGGACCTTGGCTTAAGTTATTCTAGTAAAATGAATTTGTGGGAAAGGACCTTCAATTCGCTGACGGTGCTGATTAACATATTTAATAACTATCTGTATTACTACCCCACTCAGAGGAAATTCGTACAAAAATATTTACCGAAATGTGCCAATTATGATTTCAATAACGTATCTTTTTATCTAATGAACTCGCACGAAAGTACATCAGAACCGGTACCGATGGTACCCAATATGATCAACATCGGCGGCTTTCACATCAATCCACCCAAAGAATTACCGAAAGATCTAAAGGAGTATCTGGATAACGCGAAAGATGGCGTAATCTACTTCAGCATGGGTTCCAATATCCAGTTTTCTAAAGTTAAACCCGAAATTAGGGATACTTTAACAAAGACATTGGGCAAACTGAAGCAGAAAGTTTTATGGAAATGCGACGAGGATACGTTACATGGAAAACCAGATAATGTTAAACTTGGAAAGTGGTTTCCACAATCAGATATTTTAGGTAAATATTTGCAATGTTTTTTTGGTAATTAATAACTTTAAAATTTACTGCTCGCCGCTTACTGGATGGAGCTTATATTTACACCCAAGCAGCCAAAACCAGTATCATTAGTCTATCATTATGTTTACTTGCAGCCCATCCAAATGTCAAACTATTCATCACTCATGGAGGATTACTGAGTACCTTCGAAACAATTTATCATGGAGTACCGGTACTCACTTTACCTGTGTTCGGAGATCAAAAACTAAATGCGGCCAGAATGGAAACTCTTGGTTATGGAATAAAACTTACGTTTTCAGCTATTACTGAACCAGATTTGACAGAAGCTTTAAATAAACTATTAAATGATCCAAAGTAAGTACCTATATACCAACGGTTTTAATATGTATCTTTAAATAAAGATTGATCCACATGATTGACAAAGCCGAAGATACGAGTTATATCCAAAAACTATGCCTTTAAATAAAATCAAAACTGTTATTTAGAGAAGAAGAATCGTGAAGAAATAAAAATGCGTGCTTTTTCCAAGACAAACTTTAAAAACGTTTCTTGTGGATCACATTTTATAATTCATAGGTAAATATTTATATGGATAAACTTTTAACAGGAAAAAACTTAAAATATAACTTAAGAAGGGTATGCAACTGCGCCGTGATTTATAGAGTACTTTTATAGTTACCGAGGTTGAATTTCTCTAACTTTTCCACTTTCATCTGGATTAGGTTATTAGTGAGCATAAGCGAGGCTTCTACTTGTATTATTACTTTATTACGTTGTATATGATAGTGATCGATCGCTCTAGTCTACACACAGTTGATTTTTTTCAGATATTTCGTTTCGTTATTGGATCGATTCTTCTTTTCAAGTGGTGCTTTAACCTTTATGCAAGGATATACTACGTATTCGATTCGTACTGTAACCGATGTAGGGACACTACTGGCTACGTGACTCTCTCACAATGGGATTAAACCTTTCTATCTAGTTTAATATATTATAATGAAATATTTTTCCATAGACTGCAGATCTAATTATTTCGGGAAAGGAGTTACAACACAAAGACACAATAAAATGGGACGGCACTGTCTGTATTAACATGTCGTTAATAACTAATATAACAAATAGTTTATACTTTCAAAACTGGTCACATATATATTTTATAACACTTAAAATAACTACAAACACCAAGGCCCGTATTTATAAACAAAACTCTTCTGAGTCGGACTTGGGTAAGTCGTCCTTGAACGAAAATCCAAGTTCGGTTATATCGCGTGAATTTAGAGATGTGTAGTAACAAATCCGTAAATGTACATAACCGTTACAGATTTGCTAATATCCATCTCTAAATTCCAGTTTAACACCAGAACCACCTAGAACTTTAGAGACGTTGTAACCGAACTTTGATTTTAGCTCAAAGACGACTTACCCAAGTCCGACTCACGTAAGTTCTATTTATAAATACAGGCCCAAGTCACAATAGAATTATTAATTTTGCACTGGTAAACACGATTGATTGTTAAAAGTAAAGCCAATATTCAAAGCGCGTGGGTTAGCATGTTCTTAGACGCTATTCAAAAAAGGGAATGGCCGACAACCTGGGCCCTTAAAGGTACCAGATGCGACGGCAAAGGCGACCAAGAACGGTCTCTTCACGTCTGAACACATGCAATTATATAAAACATATTTCGCAAGGCACAGCACGTCCTACAGACAAAAGCCGACACATTAGATCGGTCTCGGGGTATAGCGTTTGCTGCCTGCCGCACTCAATCCTCACTATCCTCCAATCATCGCTTGTATTTCGAGGTGATTAGGCGATATTTTATATAAATGGTAGTTGAAAGTTCTTTCGAACTAGACAGTGTCACTAAACTTAATAAATTAAGAACAACATTTGTTAAGTTGGCGAAAACAGTAGATTTCATACCTAAAACAGGAGAACAGAGACAAAAATAGTGTATCTACTTTAAAACAGTGAGTCTGTCAATACTGATATTTCCCTCGAATTGTCGTATACGGGTGTCGCGTCACCTGCCTCTTTGATTCCCAAACGTGTTAAGCGTAACGTTAATGCATCTGTCGTCATTGCCGTTGCTTCTGTTGTCGTCTGTCGTGTGTCGTGTGTCGTGTGTCGTGTGTCGTGTGTCGTGTGTCGTGTGTCGTGTGTCGTGTGTCGTGTGTCGTGTGTCGTGTGTCGTGTGTCGTGTGTCGTGTGTCGTCTGTCGTCTGTCGTCTGTCGTCTGTCGTCTGTCGTCTGTCGTCTGTCGTCTGTCGTCTGTCGTCTGTCGTCTGTCGTCTGTCGTCTGTCGTCTGTCGTCTGTCGTCTGTCGTCTGTCGTCTGTCGTCTGTCGTCTGTCGTCTGTCGTCTGTCGTCTGTCGTCTGTCGTCTGTCGTCTGTCGTCTGTCGTCTGTCGTCTGTCGTCTGTCGTCTGTCGTCTGTCGTCTGTCGTCTGTCGTCTGTCGTCTGTCGTCTGTCGTCTGTCGTCTGTCGTCTGTCGTCTGTCGTCTGTCGTCTGTCGTCTGTCGTCTGTCGTCTGTCGTCTGTCGTCTGTCGTCTGTCGTCTGTCGTCTGTCGTCTGTCGTCTGTCGTCTGTCGTCTGTCGTCTGTCGTCTGTCGTCTGTCGTCTGTCGTCTGTCGTCTGTCGTCTGTCGTCTGTCGTCTGTCGTCTGTCGTCTGTCGTCTGTCGTCTGTCGTCTGTCGTCTGTCGTCTGTCGTCTGTCGTCTGTCGTCTGTCGTCTGTCGTCTGTCGTCTGTCGTCTGTCGTCTGTCGTCTGTCGTCTGTCGTCTGTCGTCTGTCGTCTGTCGTCTGTCGTCTGTCGTCTGTCGTCTGTCGTCTGTCGTCTGTCGTCTGTCGTCTGTCGTCTGTCGTCTGTCGTCTGTCGTCTGTCGTCTGTCGTCTGTCGTCTGTCGTCTGTCGTCTGTCGTCTGTCGTCTGTCGTCTGTCGTCTGTCGTCTGTCGTCTGTCGTCTGTCGTCTGTCGTCTGTCGTCTGTCGTCTGTCGTCTGTCGTCTGTCGTCTGTCGTCTGTCGTCTGTCGTCTGTCGTCTGTCGTCTGTCGTCTGTCGTCTGTCGTCTGTCGTCTGTCGTCTGTCGTCTGTCGTCTGTCGTCTGTCGTCTGTCGTCTGTCGTCTGTCGTCTGTCGTCTGTCGTCTGTCGTCTGTCGTCTGTCGTCTGTCGTCTGTCGTCTGTCGTCTGTCGTCTGTCGTCTGTCGTCTGTCGTCTGTCGTCTGTCGTCTGTCGTCTGTCGTCTGTCGTCTGTCGTCTGTCGTCTGTCGTCTGTCGTCTGTCGTCTGTCGTCTGTCGTCTGTCGTCTGTCGTCTGTCGTCTGTCGTCTGTCGTCTGTCGTCTGTCGTCTGTCGTCTGTCGTCTGTCGTCTGTCGTCTGTCGTCTGTCGTCTGTCGTCTGTCGTCTGTCGTCTGTCGTCTGTCGTCTGTCGTCTGTCGTCTGTCGTCTGTCGTCTGTCGTCTGTCGTCTGTCGTCTGTCGTCTGTCGTCTGTCGTCTGTCGTCTGTCGTCTGTCGTCTGTCGTCTGTCGTCTGTCGTCTGTCGTCTGTCGTCTGTCGTCTGTCGTCTGTCGTCTGTCGTCTGTCGTCTGTCGTCTGTCGTCTGTCGTCTGTCGTCTGTCGTCTGTCGTCTGTCGTCTGTCGTCTGTCGTCTGTCGTCTGTCGTCTGTCGTCTGTCGTCTGTCGTCTGTCGTCTGTCGTCTGTCGTCTGTCGTCTGTCGTCTGTCGTCTGTCGTCTGTCGTCTGTCGTCTGTCGTCTGTCGTCTGTCGTCTGTCGTCTGTCGTCTGTCGTCTGTCGTCTGTCGTCTGTCGTCTGTCGTCTGTCGTCTGTCGTCTGTCGTCTGTCGTCTGTCGTCTGTCGTCTGTCGTCTGTCGTCTGTCGTCTGTCGTCTGTCGTCTGTCGTCTGTCGTCTGTCGTCTGTCGTCTGTCGTCTGTCGTCTGTCGTCTGTCGTCTGTCGTCTGTCGTCTGTCGTCTGTCGTCTGTCGTCTGTCGTCTGTCGTCTGTCGTCTGTCGTCTGTCGTCTGTCGTCTGTCGTCTGTCGTCTGTCGTCTGTCGTCTGTCGTCTGTCGTCTGTCGTCTGTCGTCTGTCGTCTGTCGTCTGTCGTCTGTCGTCTGTCGTCTGTCGTCTGGGGACCCAGAAGCGTATAATAGCCACCTATTTCATTATTTTCGTTTTGTTTACAAAATTATTTACATATATTAAAAATGCTAAAATAAATCAACCCATTTTATTGCAACTGAACCCAAAACATTTTAAATCATTCATTATATCAAATTTAACTAAATTAGATGTAATTTCACTAAATAAGATATAATAATTTTCAATAAATTCCAAAACCTAGTCATATTAGGTTGCAAGTGGCAACATGAGTTACATCGACATGAACATTTACGTTGTTTATTATTACATATTTATTTATTGATAAAAAACATTGTATCTGCGTAAATTCTTCTCTTTATCCCCTCTCTTACTTCTCACCTTTCGGCACCTCGCCGCGTCCTTACAAATACTGATTGTCGAATTATTCTTGGCATCGTTAATATTATATTTTATCAATGAATGATTATAGGTCTGTTATTTCTGGTAATACCCAGCTAGCACAAAAACATCCCATCTAGGTTAATGAGCTGCAATTTTAGGCTCTTTAAACTCGCATGTAATGTACTTTTAATGTAACCCTAATATCCCTGCAACTGCCAAATGGCCGCAACGGCAAGACTTTTATAGCACATCGCATAGAGGTTACAAAGTGAAGTTCGAAAAACATCACACTACCACTTTTACGGTACTTACCCCGAAAGTTGCACTTATAGATGTTATAATGTGAATTAGTTCTACAGTGCTATACAGTGTGTCCACGGATAGAATTACCTATACTTGTGAAAATATTTATTTTAAGTTAAAAAAAAGTAATTCTTTATAATTTTTTTTACTTGTTAAATAAATACGATTGTTTTTAGCAAGATATTCTGCTATATACTCGAGAACATCATCTGTGTTGTCTGTCAACTTTTCTTCTGGGTTCTGATGGTTAGATTTCCAGGTATATCAAGCCTATTGAAGAGAATGAACTGCTTGAATCTGATGTTTTTATTTTTCAATATAGACGTACCATGTACCTAGTTTTAAATTTACTTCTTATCAAATTTTAGATGTTGTTAGGGTTGCCACCTTTTTATTTCACAAAACCCGGACCTTTGTGAAATTTCTAAAAAAAAGTCCTTGGCTTACAAATTTGTAAAGCAGGTCGTCCTGTTTCTTCTGCTGGCTCAGTTTCTAAAAAAAAAATAGGTCCTCACCTTATGATTTTATAAATTAAAAAGGTTCTCAGCTTATAATTTATTCCCGTACATTTTTATAATTTTATAAACCAAGTTTTTCTGTTGAACACTTCTACGAAAATTATTCAAATATTCCTGGACATTTTGATCTATCATGCGACTGGGCTTCGGACACATTGTTTAAAACCCGGACAGTCCGGATGAAACCCGTACAGGTGGCATATCTAGGTGTTATATATTCTTCTTTAGACAACTCTGAAGTATTTCTTTTGCTTCTAAAATTCCTAAAATGTCATCAGTTACTAAGGAAACTTTAAATATAATATTTTTAAAATTTATTTTTGTTCCATTAAGTATATTATTACCCAGAAGTAATTTAGTTTTGTAAATCTTTCATAAGTATTTGGTGTAAAATGTAACTGTGCATTCGGTTAATTGTATCTTCTCGTTTACAACCACGATATACCCACGTTAAGAACAATTTATCATTTTGTATTGAGTACCTATATTAAATGAAATATTAAATTTACACCAGGCATTGTAATCTGAAACAAAGGCAATGGCTTAGAAAATATTTTTTTATTTTATAGAGGAACCTTACCAAATCTACTCAAATGTTAAAAATAATTAATTATAAATTGTCCAAGTTCAAACACGACAAACAAAATAATGACAAATGACAAGAAAAAGTGACAAGTGATAATTGACATAAACATAAACGTTCCGATTTCAGATTGTCATTTTTATACTACTTCTCTTGGGTACATTTTATAGCAAATTAAATTATTATGTTGTGTTAACATAATAGGTTAAATAGGTAAGTAACAAATAGAAGTTGTACAAGGTTTTGATTTCCCTCAATAACCTCTCTTGAAAGTTGCATTTACGTTGTATAGTAATGTTATTGCGTTGCCTTAAAATAACATCGCCGAAAGGCTTGGCAACGTTTGTGCTAGCTGGGTACCCAACGCGAGAGGGCCTGTCCAGAGGGTAAGACTCAAGAGCCATCTCACCAGATGGTAATGAGGGTGCCAGTGACGGCTTTTGGTAATTTAAAATGGGTGTTCACTTTTTCCAATAATTTTATTAAAACATTGTACAAGTGTAGTTATTATAACAATATTATACTGTTTTCAAGCACTACAACTATTACTGAATGATTAAATGAATATTTTAGTTATATTTATTTTGTTTTTAATACGTTAAAAACCATCTATAAACATTACTATTCAGTTAAATGACTTTTCTTTGTATTTTGATATTATTTTTAAATATATATTAGGTTATGTAGAAAGCTTTATATTAATTTTTATAAAACTTTACCTACCATTTTTCAGTTTTTATTGTAAATTTAATCATTTTCACAATTTGTCACACTTGTTAAATACTAGTCTTCATACTTATGACTAACATAATATGCAGTATATTATATTACTCTATTACATATAACACCTACTATTTGACTTTCTTGTATTTCCCACATTAATATACACTCTTTTGTGCCTCGCTTGTATTGATAAATTGTATTAAATACTTTTATATAGCACTTTTAAATAATCAATAGTTATTTTTACTTTTGCTGTATTTGTTCTAATATTTTCTTCGTTCATGTTCATATTGGATTTAATTGGAATTTTGTTATTTGCAGATACCGAGAAAATGCTAAAATGAGGTCAAAACTTTTCCACGATCGACCGATCAAACCCATGGATGAAATGATATATTGGGTTGAGTACATCGCTAGATATAATGGCGCACCGCATTTACAGGTTGCTGGTAAACATTTACCGTGGTACCAATATTTACTTCTGGACGTTGTTCTCCTTGTGGTTCTGATCGTTACTATTCCAATCGTTTTACTTTATATAATTTGTAAAAAACTGTGTTGTTCAGGAAATGAAAAAAAGAAACAGAAAAAGGAATAAAAGATATGTTTGTTTTTAATTTATTTTTCATTTTATTAAAATCCAACAGGAGGACTTGCTAGAGTCACATTGGATTCTATAAAATACCTCTTAGGTCTAAATAGTGCTTTTCTTGGAGTGTTTTTTCAACTTCTTGATGTGTTATAAATTCTGTTTTTCTTAAATAAACGAACAAACAAGGCAACTAATATTCCAGTTAGCATGAATCTCTGGCAATATAAACTTGTAGTTACAGAAACTTTCTTCTTGATTAGAAGCACAACATGCAAAAGACGTGGAAGGCAATCAACAATTCAGATTTAAATATAATACAAATAGGAGCAAGATGACACAGAGGACCTACAGCTCATGTACCACCCAAAAATGTTCGTTTAGATCAGGGGTCCCCAAACTTTTTTGTATCGTAGACCACTTGTCATGCTTAGCTCATATTGCATTTTTTGAAAATTCATCAACTTCAAATGTATTTTGACTGATTCCTAACTATAGCGAGGTGTATAAGAAATAAAAAACAATAAAGAACCCATTAATTTATATACATTTACTAATGAAACTGAAATTAAAATGAATAAAAATAAAATTACATCAATTTAGTACGGTTTAATCAAATCTTCTCGGTTCATGGTGTCCAGTTTGTTCCTTTTTTTTTTTTTGATAGAAAATTGTAAATCGCGTTGAAATCTTTTTTTTTTTCTACATATTGTCGTAAGAGGCCGCTCCGATCCTTGGCTTCTCCCTGTAAGCTGCCGCGCCGTTTAGTCTGTATTTACACCGTCGCTGTCGTTATGTCTGTGCCGCTTTCGCTGCCCGTCCACCTCGAAGACTCGAGAGAGTAACTAGAATGTTATCTCTTGCAGTTTGACTCATGGATAAAAATTTATCCATAGCCCAAGCTGACGCGAGGGCTTAGCGCTCAATTTGTGCATACGATTTATCTGTTTCGGACTACAAACGGGAAGCGTAAGCGGCTATTTTAGTATTACCGTTAGATGACTGCATTAGATAAGCTTCAAGGCCATATGAAGACGCGCCTGCTTGTATTGAAATTTGTTTAGTGACGTTGAAATATGCTAGCAGTAAGGAAGAGGAAAACAGTGACTCTCTAATAACAGGTAGTCTGTTTCAGTTCCATAAAATACCTGTTTCATTAAACCTGTTCCAGTTCCAAGTTGTTCCAACAATTTTAAAACGTTGTTTGTTGTTACGCATCTGTTGCCACTTGCGAGCACGGAGTCCCATACATACAGAAACACCGAACCTAAAACAAAACAGTTTCACGTCGACGAAACAATTTGATTTTTTAATGTTTCAACTGTTTCAAGGGCACCTGTTATAGTCGCAGTGTAGCCACTACTTCAATATTTTCTTACTATATGGAGAATGGTCGCACTGCGCAGCTTTCTGAGTGCCTTTTAAAAGGAGATAGAAAACGCTGCCATTTTGAACACTTATTACGTGCTGCCTACATCTTGGCACAATAGTTTTAGTGGTTATGTTATAATATTTACCTAAGTATTTACCCAACACCTACCTACCTACCTACCTACCTACACTTAATAAATAATGAATATCTTGAAAACCTTGCTTTACTTGGTGATTTTATGTTAAATCTTTCCATTTGTAAGTAACAGTAATTACTTTATTAATGTTCCTATTGTTGTATTCTAAAGCTTTTTATTTTTCAGGTCTCCTACGAATCTCAAGCACTTATCATGAACAGTGGTTACAAACCATTAATCAAATTGTTTAGAAATTATTTTTAGCTAAACTTCGTTGTCTCTTCTCAGCATTTTGAGGAAAATGCTTATTGCTCTTATGTAAAAAGATATGTGATCAGTTTTAACGGTTGGAACCGTAATTTCGACGCAACAACCTTTCACCTCTACTCTAATATCATTTGTTGTTTATGCCTTGTGTCAAAAGTTCATATTTTTTGTGATTCGAATATATCAACCAGATCACATTCCTTTCAAATTATCTTGGTCATCAGATGTACTAAATAATTTTTATCTATCGTAAATTCCGTCTGATTTTATAAGGTAAGCTTTAATACTAATATATTGTTGAAAATATATATTTTGTACAAACATAACAGATATAACAAATGGTGCTTAAACAAGAAACTTTATTGTTTGTTACAAGTGAATTTAAATCGTAAAGTTTTAGTTTGGTTATAAAAATATTTATGAACTTTTCTTATAGAAAATAAAAAATGTTTTGCTTTTAAAGAAAGACATAGACAATGCAAGTTTTCACGTTTTTGGTGATCACAAAAACTGCGATATTTATTTTTGTCAGAAGCATACAGATGAAACCAAAAACGAAATAACCAATTTCAGATCTAAACCTGAATTTTTTACAAGACTTCTACAAATTATACACGCTTTGTCAGATTACAGCAGAAGTCTATTACATGATGTTGATAGTAAGTTTGTAGGTGGCAAAAGAATCAATTATTCCAGAGGGCGCTCTTACCAAAGTAGATGTTTTGCAGCAGTTGTATCATATAATTCGAAATCAGGAAATTCAGAATAAAAAAAGTTATTCTGCAAAAACCAATAAAACTGATTTAGATTATGGAGAAAATTTTACCAAAAAGGATTTAGATCAAGATATTTATGAAGTAAAAAAACTTCAATTTTTAAACGAATTCCCTTCATCTGACGAAGAGAAATGTAATTTAGGAACAAACTATGTCACAGGCGGATAGCAGGGTTTGGCTTGAAATTCGTAGAAAAATTATTACGGCCTCACACTTTAAAGCAGTGTGTACTAGACGAATTACTACTTTATGTGAGCCTCTAGTCAAAAGGATTATTTACCAACTACCAGTCAGTGCTGCTATTTCTCATGGCCAAAAGTATAAAAAAACGGCACTTTTGCAGCTTCAAGAGTAGGAAAATATAGTGATTAAAGATTGTGGAATTTTTATTGACAAAAATATCCATATTTAGGTACGTAACGATCAGTTCACATTTTTACTCACATCTCAACTATAAGATATTGCAAATGAGTTCATTTTAAATCAAAATAATAATTTTTAAATTTGTAGATGCTACTCCAGACGGCATTGTAGGAGATGAATTAGTGGTTGAAATAAAATGTCCATACGCTGCCTATCAACTGGCAAGAAAACTTATCTCTTTACTTTTATATGATATTATTTCCTCTTCAAATTGTTATTGAGATTTTTTACAAAATGCAGTATTACTTCTTGTAAAGATATTATTATAAGCTAAAGTGCTTAATACAGTTTAAGTTATTGTCATTTGCACCATCGCATCGTAAAAAGAGAAGAAAAATAGATATAAAATAAAAATGTTTGTTTTCACTTTTGGTATATAAACTATAAAAATGGTTTATTAAGCTTTATATTATAGCCCGGATTTATGATCGCTAAACTGAACTGTTTTGCTCTTTTTATTTAAATTCTAATGATTATTTATTTCATTTGTATAACTGGTAGAATAGAATATATATTTTTTTTATTATTATTTTCTCTTTATACGCTTGGGTTTTTTGCATATTATTAATTGTCTTTCACCAGAGCAAAAGTGTTAAAACTAATGCTTTTTTTCCCAATCACTATAAATGATTTATGATTACTGTTCTTATTTAGATTGTTTCAATGAGCAGGGGGATATGTCGCGAGCAAGGTATCGTTTTTGCGAATTTTAGTAATTTTTTTTTTATTTTTACACATTCTTTTCTCTCTCTTCCTTTACCAAACTTCTTTATCTTTCCTTTTTTTTTATATTTCTTTTTCTTGTAGGAAGTGCTTATCTATTAAAATATAAACATTATTTTTAAATTGTGTGATGTTTAACGTATCTCATTTAAATGTCCGATCACTGATTCCACATTTTGTTGATTTTCGAAATTACGTTCTCGATACAAATTGCGATGTTGTTGGTGTAACAGAAACCTGGCTAAATCCAGCAATTGATATCAATTTAATACATTTAGAGGCTTATAAATTTATTCGTCTGGATAAACCAAGCAGAGGCGGAGGTGTGGGTATGTATACTAAAGAAAAATTTAAACATGAGTTAATTTTATCTGAGTGCAATGAAAATAAAGAATATCTATGGATTAAACTGTGGGTTGGAAACACGATTGTAGCAATTGGAACATTGTATAGGCAACCAAAGAGTAATTATTTACAATTTTTAGATGAAGTCGAAAATATGTTTTCGAACATTTTTTCAAATTTTGATTATCTTATATGTGTAGGCGATTTTAATATAAATATGCTCGATATTGATAACTCCAATACAATACGTTTTTGTGACATTCTTGAGGCATTTAACTTAACACAAATAATCAAGGAGCCTACAAGAGATAGTTCATTGCTAGACTTAATCATCACAAATATAGATTCCAACTTCTGCAATGATTCTGTTGATCACCATCTAGTTGCTGACCATTCAGCAATTAACTGTAAATTTAACAATTTTTACATCAAACCTCAGGAAAAAATAAAAATTACATATCGATGTCTGACAAAAATCAATTATGAAAATTTTCAAAGAGATCTTAGTTCCATGCCTTGGCATAACATTTATACTGTAAATGATATTGACGAAATGGTAAATTTATTGAACACATATAATGACAGTTTCAGAATTGCATGCTCCTAAGAAAACAATTATCAGAAAACGAATTAAATACACTCCGTGGATTACTGAGAATATTATTCTTATGCAAAAACTCCGAGATAAAGCTTTGCAAAAATTTCGCAGAACTCAATTACCACAACATTGGTCATATTATAAACAATTAAGAAATTTCACAAATAATGCTATAAAGGCTGAAAAAAGAGCATACTTAAATTTTAAACTCCAAAATTGTAATATAAAAGAAAAATGGTCTTAACTAAAAAAACAGATATTCCCAACAATTTGAAAGATGCCAATGCCATAAATAGTTTTTTTACTTCTAGATGTAATAATGTGGCTAAGGATGATGACTTAATACATTTTTATTCAACTAATACTAAGGAGA